TGAATGGATATTGCCGAAATTTGGTGTGAAGTACTCTAAGATGAATGGAAATCAATTCTGTATTAACAGTGTATCCTGGCCCCCTGGGACAGGAAGGATGGGACCGCATTGGGGAAACATAGAAATTCTTTGAAATCCTACTTCTCCTTGCCTCTAGGAATGACTGGATGTTGTCCCATGTTGGTCTGAAACATTGTTTGGTAAAGATATATGAATTTGGTATAACAGATGGTCACAGACCCCTTTGGAGGGAAGAAAGAGTCAAAAAGGAGAAAGAGCAAATTAAAAGCAAGAATTTTTTTTCTGTAGAACTGCTTGGAAACAAGAAATTTATTGACTATTTTCATTATATATACCCACCAGAATTGGAAATCAAGACACAACAGACTCTTCTACATTTGCTGCTTATCTCAAACTTTTCCTACAATGAAACCAACATGGAAAGCTTTCAACCAAGCTGTATGATAAATGTGATGATTTCAATTGTGAATTTTCCATATCTGGATAGCAATATTAGTGCATCTCTACTCTGTGGTATTTACAAGTCACAGTTGTCTTCTGTAGGAATGTCTGAATGTTGTTCAAAATTGTTTTAAAGCATGTTTGGGTTAAGGGAAATCAGTTGGTATAAACAATGGATATTGGTCCCCTGGTTTGGGAGGTGCAGGGCCCAATAGGGGAAATAAAGCAAATTCATAAAAATCCTTTTTCTTCTTTAGAAATATCAGAATTCCTTCCTAATTTGGTAGGAATTATACATGGATGAAGGGGAATGAATTTTGTATAAATATTGGGTCTCAGCCCTGTGTGACTGGGTGGAGCAGAATAGTGGAAATGTATGAAATTATCTGTAGTCCTTCTTTTGAAGGAGTGCCTTGATTCTGTCTGGATTTGATCTGAAACATACCTGGTTGAAAGGAACCTAATTTTGTATCAACCATGAATCTGACATAATCAGAAATATGGGGCTCAAGAAGGGAAATAAAATTCTTAAAAATCGTTCTTCTTACCTACAACAATATGTTATCCTAACCTTATTTCAAAATTTGTTATAGGTATGTTTGACTTTATGTGAACATTTCAAATATTCCTGATATCAAGAAGGTTTTGTATTAAATATTTTTTGTCTTAGTCTGAATTGTGATGAAATTATCTGTTGCTTAAATGGAAATGTTTTATGATCCTTGGTGATGCAGTAGGAAATCGAGGTTCATTGCCCTAGAAAAAAAAACAAGGTCAACCATTTACTTCAGCAGTATCATATACACAGATATTAAGGCAAGAAGCATCCTCCTTGATTAACCTGACAAAGATTGTCCATGTATGGAAATTAATGGTGCACATGGCCTCTTTAATGTCCAAATCGATAAAGTGCTGACACATGCCATCTTGTACAATTGTAAACACAGAGTCTCGGGTGTGTATGGAGCTAATGAAGATATTAACAAGTTAATTATATGCAAAAAACCTCCATGGAATCAATATTGACTTATAATTTGAAGATTGATTTGAATTTTGTTCACTGAGAATAAATTTAAGTTTCTCACATGCCCGATATATTAAGATTCATCAGGCTTGGTAACCTAGTACCATCTGACACGCTATTTCAGTGTTTATTTCTTCTGTCAGACATCCAATACCAAAATAAATGCTTGACGGTTTTTGCTAGAGTTCTTGAAGATTGTATTACATTTTGGTGTATCTATTAAGGCCTTACATGGCATGCTTTCAATTAAAGTAGCTGGTTTAGTCCCGTGTTTGCCATTATCAGAGTAGATATCTGCCGTACCTCTACTGCTGTAGTGGTTTCTTGGCCAAAGCACTTTTTTGTAGACGACATGTCCCATGATTGCTTTTTCCAATATCCCTTAAAATTCCTTCAACGACCTTGTTGTTGTTATTTTCAAAATCACAATTAAGAATGTGGAGACCTAAACTGTTGTAAGATCCAAATGTCTCTGTAATTTTGTTAAGCTTTAAGACTAACAGTAATGACAAATTCTAGGTCTGTTTTGTTCTGCTGGAAAAGGTGCTACATGTTTATATTCAAAAAGTAAACAAATGTTTTTTGGGTTATGTTTTCTTTATTGTCCTGATATCTGAAGAAAAACCTTGACTAGATATAACAACCTGCAGTCACAAACAAAGAGTCAGATGATATTAACGGAGGTAGATGCCAAAGAAACACATTTACTACATATCATGTAGTTTTAGACAGAAAGCGAGTAGGTATGAATCTTCACTTTTGATATTACTTTTCTACCATAATGATGTATACTGCAAGAATATGTAATTTAATGTATGATCATGTAAGGTTGAAGTCTACACAGTAGATCTATCATCTATGGAACTATTTACTATCACGTACTGATAAAATGGTTCAGACCACCTAAGTGACAATTAGCCTTATACTTCCATTTTTCTTTCCCAATTTCACAGATACATGCCTCCAAAATAAAAGGATGTAGGAAATACCTTTTGTTACCATATTTAAAAAAAAATCTTTTGATGCCGTTTATAGTTTTCTGTTTCTGAAGTTATGATCAAGGTCACAATGTCAGCACTCCATCATATCAAGGCAGTATTCACATGAGTTGAGCTATTACTAGGTTTTGGATATCCTTTCTGGGACACCTGGTTCAGATAAGCTTTATACAGATAGCGTACTTCTGCCAATGCCTACAATATATAAAATTTCCATGAAAGCTTGCTTCTGCTTGGATGCATCGAGACAATTCAGTTGGAAAGTTAGCATGCTCGTACAATCAATGTTTAATGCTTTTGGCATAAGAATTTGTTTATATATGTCACTTAGCCTTTCACTACAAATCGTTCTGTTTGGCGGTCTGAATTGGCCATAATGTAGAGAGGTCTCTTAACAGAAGGGTGAGAGACACCTAGGACCATGGAGTGGGACTTGTACAGACAAGCTTGTTGATTGGTTCGGAAACTTCTCTTACCAACAGCTCTTGGAACTGTGATAAAGTGACACCAAAGTGCAGAAGGCCTGTCTCTGATTTCTGGTCTTAAATCAGTGCTTGATCTCTTACTTATACAGACACTGGGTATATGGAACATTAATTTGTACTGGTCAGTTAAAGAGAATAACAACTGATTGGGTAGGGCAAGTGATTCTAATGCTGACTATACTTAAGTGAATGAAAACATTTCTGTATGAGACAGTTATCATGTATGATATTGGCCCATCGTGACAGAGCCCAATAGGGAGGTCCGGATTTATCAACAATCAGCAGTCTAACCATCTCACCAGGCTCAGGTGCTGTCGTCTTTGATCTCCACTTTTCTCTAGTGTTTTTCCTGACACCTTTTAATTTCTCTTGTTAATTTCCTTCCTGAGTAGTTGGAAATCAAATATGGATGATTGATCCAGGAGTTTAAACAGGAAATAGATTTAAGATGAAACATAAATAAATACAGTGTTCCTGTTAAAAAAAAAAGATGCTTTTATTTCAAGTAATATAGAAATTAAATGATCACATTCAGTTTGGTTGATGATGAAACAACTTCAAAACATTAGAGAGCAATATTTAGTATGCTTGATAGCCTGCAAAGTGTAGATAATTGTCTATGTATATTTTTTAGAGCGGGTGATGCGTATATCGTGAACATATACATAACAAAAACAACATGTTTGGTTTAGGATTTAAAGAGAATTGTTCTGTAAATGATTGATATATATAATGTACATTTGTGAGAATTGTTAACAGTAAATTACTGTTCTGTATTAATGTTCTATCATGTTTGATATTTACACAGAAACCAGTGATGATCTCATGCACCTTCATAAAAGAATGATTTGATTGTTAAACTTTTTAAAATGTTACAGATTCATTAAAATGTTGCAGATAAGATTCAGTCTGATCATTCTCCACTAATGTCAATCCAGAATAATTATGTAACTTGGAGCAAATTAATTGAAGATTTGCCTGTGTTACAGTACCATTCCCCAGTTTTGCTGAAAGCTTGAGATTTCCATTAGTCTTGTAATTGGAAATATTGACCTTGAAACGTAGACTGAATCTGGTTTTGTTATCTAGCGGTGTTATTCATCAGACTGGAAATTCTATGTAGGAAGTCCGCAATTAAAATCTTAACAAGTTAGCTCTCTGATTCAACTGAAGGTTTGATCAGCATAATCAGATTAGTAGTAAGGCCAGAGGACATCCATATACATCAATGATTATTCAGTAAGTATGGTATAAAAATGAACCAATGATAAAACATGAGGGTGACAGAATGTAAGGTTTTTCATGGTCTTGTATCATATTTCACTGATACTGATTCTTTCTGTGAGATCCAAATTATCCCTTAATTATCGTCTCAGTTAATATAAAACCATGTTGACATGTTTGTTGTTTTTTGTGTCTAGAAACGTAGGTTTTCTATTTGTATCCATAATTCCCCGGGAAAATTTTGACACTAGACCGTCTCTACTGATATAAACTCTGAGGTTAATGGTTAGATCTATTTATCTAATAACATCTGTGTAATGACAAATTACTGATTATCATTAGGTGAATGGAAACGGTATTACTTATGATTTACTTCATAAAGGTCAACAAAGGTCAACTACATATAAAGTAAACTTTTTATCACAACAATGAGAAGAATCGTGAACTTTGATGATGGTTTCAGGATCAATGAGAAAAGCATACCATATGATGATACAAATAGCGACTGCTTATCTGTATAGATATTTGTGTCATTTACAACTACAATGATAGTCAACTGTGATTTCTTTTGAAGTATTCATCCTAGCTGTGGGAGAATTTGCTATCTATAATATTCACTCTGGACATTTTGAGCTGATTTATTAGCCAGATGGTGGTACCTTGTCATAAAACATATAACAATACATGTAGATTAAATACTGAACGGTGTCAAACAAACTACCAGATATCTGGTGGATCACGAGCTAGAGATATCAAGGGAGATAATGTACAAAGAGTTGTGTGGAAACTTCTGTGACTAATTCAAACTTATTCATGTACTTTTGAGGATTTCTTCTTTCTCTTTTTTTGTTTTTTCCCCAAATGAAGAATGGTTTTAAAAGCCTTTCTGAAATCATCGTTAAATAAAGTATAAAGGATTGGGTTGAGAGCAGAGTTGGCATATCCTAGCCAGATAATCGCCGCCTGTATATGTACGTTTAAATCACAGGAGGCACAAAAACTTCGAATGGTATACATAAACAAAAATGGTATCCAACAGACTGTAAAACAGGCCATTACTATAGCCATTCTCTTCGTTGCCCTTTGCTCTCTTAACTCGTATTTAGTTTTTATACTGTTAAGTTTTCCATTTCTCCTTGTGAAGGAGTTCTTGTGTTTTTTAATTCGTGCGTTTGAGCTTCTTTTCGTACGCTTCTTAGTACTGGAGTTATGAGAGTTTGTAACATTGTGCTCCTCTGATTTGCTCTCTTTGTCCCTGTTTAAATGTCCATTTTTCTTATCCATTTTGGGAAGGCAGTGCAGAAGGTTATCAGAATTACTAGTAGATTCATTTTCATCATCCACAAATGAATCCTGACAGCTGTGAGTACGAATGATACTTATTTTAGGTGGACGAATACCATCCTTGGACCGGTTTATAGCTGGCACATTTTTAAACTCTGACTTACCGTTATTTTTATTGTTGTGAGTGCCCTTATAATTAATTCCATAATCAGGGTTGGATTTCTGGTAGATTTTTGTTTTATCGTCATCTTTTTGGGGTTTTGTACTATCAGAAGATAAATTCACATCTTGTGATGTTTTCTGACCTAAGTACACTGATGACTTTGGTTCCAATAAAAAGTTTCCAGATGACTTTGCAAGCATTGGACTTATTTGTGTGGCTTGGTCCTTCATCTGTGTAAAATCACTGGAATGTAGTTCCAGACGGCTATTACTTTCTGCTATAACACCACTTTCCATGTCACTCTCCACTGGTAGGGAAAGGTTCCGTTTTGGTTTTAGATGTTTCATGCGTTTTTTCAAAACAATAAAAATTCTGACGTACAGAAAGGACATTAGAACAATGGGTATCACAAACGAACACATGGCAGAGTATACCACATATCCTTCTGTCTGGAATAAAACACATTCATAACGATTCAGCATGTTATTATACTGATACAATTCAGGAATCATTTCTCTCCATCCAATAAAAGGCGCGAGTGACACGACGATAGAGAAAAGCCAAACAAATATAATATAAGCTAACGCTCGCATTGGAGAGCGACGTTCAAAATACCATACAGGATACACAGTGGCTGTGTAACGATCAACAGCAATAGTGACGAGACCCCATATTGAGGCTGTGCAGTAAAGTACGTCGATACACAACCAAACGCGACACATCACATCTCCAAATATCCAGTACCCCAGTAGGTCATTTCCTGTTGAGATAGGTAATACTGTTAAGGCCAGTAGTGAATCACTCATCGCCAAATTTCCAATCAAACAGTTGGACATCGATCGTAGATTTGGAAATTTGTACAATGCAAAACACACTAAAAAATTTCCAAATATAGTCCAAAGGGTGATAACTCCTAACAGAATTGCAACGAAAACCAGCACCCAGAACGAGGTGAAGTTTAAAGAGCAGACCGGGTCAGCCATTTTCCACTTGGTTGAGTTTGACATGCAGAGATTGGCGTGAAGGAGTTCTATTCCAAACACCCCATCGCCACTTGTGGAGTTATCCAACATGTTGTACTGGTTGTATTGTTCGAACACATTTGATTCCTGATCCCATGGGAGAATCAAGGAGCCTTGTGGAGATTTCGTTGTATTTTTTAATATTTCCATTGTCATCAGCATGCAATTACAGAAACTATGTTGATATTTGTTAATGTCAAAGAAAATCTATAAATCCAAGCAATCACTACCTATCAGAAAACTGAATACTTCCTCTCCAATCATGAATTGATCCAGCAATTCATTGGTAGTTACATGAATATCACAGATAGAATGTTGTCTGTTAACAACAGTTAGTTGGTACTAATTGTTTGACCAATATATGAATTAGCACAGTCAGGGAAAGAGATATCAGACTTTCCAGAGAATTTTCAATTATCGCCAATGTGTTGAAGTTATGTTGCTGTTGTGGTTATTCTTTCATCGTCTTCATTTTACTTTACAGTTCAAGTCTCTTAAAACCTTAAGTTAAGAAATTTCTAGAAGCAGGACTGTTTTAGATGATTTATACTCCAACTTGTCATCTATTGGCTTTAGGAAGGTATTGCAGGACAGCCATTGGTTAGAGTATAGATACTGCAGAATAACTACTGGTTGGAGGGTAGACACTGCTTGACAGCCATTGGTTGAAGAATAGGTACTGCAGGGCAGCCATTGGTTGAAGAGTATGTATTGCAAGACTGCCATTGGTTAAAGAGTGGGTACTGCAGGGCTGCCATTGGTTGAATTGTACAGACCATATGTCAACTTAGATGAGGGAAAGGGGACCACAAAGTAGTCATATTGACCTTATGAGAGTTAAGACAATGTTCCTGCATTCCTGTAGTATTTCAGCATCATTGCCATAACACAAGCAATGTCTCACAGTGGCTGCAGTGAAGGTGTAGGGATCGCAAGCTTTGTTGACACTGTCCAGGATTTATGGTTGTAAGCGATTTGTTGGTTATTGTCTCGCAGCTATTTCCAGCATGATATCTTCGTCATGATATTAGAGGTGTGCTGTTGCTATGGTAACCAAATCTGTCTTCACATGCTTACTTGTTCCTGTAAAAATGAAATTAAAATTGAATTTAAGATTATGAAAAGTTTGTTGCGAACTAGAACTGATTTTTTTTTCATTAAATCTAAAACCTTTAAAAAAGCATTATATTACTTTGACATGAAAATAAACACATACTGCTGTTACCGGTGTTACGTGCTGTTCACTTCCAATGCTGTAGCTATGCCTTCAGCCGACCCATTCATAGCATTAAATACCTAGCTTCAGTGATAGCAAGGAAGCATGGCTGGTAATACTCAATTGAATTAAACTGCCAAATTTCTATGGATGTACATACTGATTACCATCAGCAGGATGTAGTGTTAAAATTGAAGTGTGTCAACACTTGTCACCTGGGTGCTGCTGAGGTAATTAGCTAGCTTGTTTCTTCTTAGCTTACAACTCCCCATATAATATCTGGATTGGATCGATCAGACGAAATCAATGGAATATGCCAGTAAGCATTAATTGTTAAATTATCACAGGCTCTTCTGCTCATTGATTTTGTCATATTTTCTTAAAATCTCATCCTGACTAAGAAAGGAACAATAAAATGATTATCTTGTGAGTTGCTCTCACTTACGAAGTAAAAAAAAAAGATTTTTATGTTTTATATTACAGTATGTGTGAGATGTTTTCTCATGTTGAATTATACAAAAAAGGTAGATAATGACAAAGAATGATGAAAATGTCTCTAAGGATACAGACAACACCACACCTTGAATAGGAACTTGTACATACTTCACCCTTCACCATTTACATAGATTCTAGGCCTAAGATTTCCTATAGTGTTGGTGAAAGTACTTGAATGGTAGAAGCCTCTTTTTATCCATGACACTTTCCCATCACTTAGAATAATATTAAAACCAAATTATAACATCCTTTAAGTATTTTTGTGTTTCCTCTACTCCCTGTTGCGTTAGGCGGTGATATCGGGGAGAGTCAGTGTGAAAATGGAAGTGTAGAGATGTGTAAGGCCCTCAGGGACACCAGGTTGCTTGGAGATAGAGATAGAAAGCATGCACTTCTGACATGGCCAATCTGTATTTTGGAACACAATCAGCAGAAGCCAAGAAGAATTGGGCTCATTACATACCATTCCACAGCATGTTTAAAAAAGGGTGAAAATAAAGGAATAATTTGTGTCAAGTTCTTCAAGGGAAAGTGTAAATTAGACTGAAACTGAAACAATTTAGCAGTAATCTGAGTCATTAAAAGTGCTTTTAATGAGGTGCTGCCCTGCTCTACCATGAAGATTTTTCTTATACAGTCATGTATTACAATGTGGATGTAACCAAACCTTAATACTAACCTAGGAACATAGAATTTGATGTAAATGTTGCGCTATAGCTATTGTCAGCCTCGTCAATATACCAAAGTTATCCCACTACCATATATGGTGATGTGTTTTAGAGCTGTTCAACTTACCACATTTGTCTGGTGATAAGCCCTTGCTTAATGAAGAGCCTGCCACTTGATTGCAGTTTCACTAGCAATTCCAACCAACACTATATACCATTATTGTGTAGAAAGTTTTAACTTTGAGTCACAGGTAATGTGTTGGGTACTATATACCATTATTGTGTAGAAAGTTTTAACTTTGAGTCACAGGTTATGTGTTGGATGCCTTTAACATGCACACAGTGTCAAATGTTTGCTGGAGTTTATGTAGTATTTTATTTACAATCATATTTACAAGAAACAGGATATCAATAACATGGGCTGATTCAGTCTTTTTCAGCTGTGTATTATATTGAAAATTTATTTCAAGAGGACTTAAGTGTTCAATCCATAAGCTATTATACATAAAATTGCTATTCCATTTCTGACATATGATGCTTCAAATGTCAGCAAACACCGTTATAGTATAGCCTAAGCTAGATTTATCACTGTTATAATGAAAACTGATACTAAACCCGAGACCTGGGAGCTGCCAAGATAACGTTGATATCATATGAAATATTTACAAAGTACGATGCAATGATAGCCGTTTTACATGAAATGGCATTCATTATGTCAAGTTTTTTCTTCCAGAATTCTAAATTCAATGTCACACATTATAAGCTAGGTTACTTCAGTAACACATGTAATCAGAGAAAATTATTTTAAAAATCAACATCGTAAAAAGGGATTATAGAAAGGCAACAGAGTGTGTATGACATGTTTTTTTGAGCTTTTTATCATATATTGATAAATTTCTGCTATAGTCTGTATGCTCTTAAATATCACTCCTACATCTAATGAGCCCCACACGAGATAAAAACACTAACCTCTCCTACTGCAGACAGACTTATGTTACAGTATCATCTGTATTTGTTATTGGACAATAAAAAGGACAGTCTGCCAGAATATTGCATCGCACACTATGTTGGTGGTGAAAAGTGTTGATGTTATGTAATTATGTTATCTCAATGCATTCCGAGTCCTTGACCTTGTCGTTAACAGGTCTATTACCCCAGGGATTGCCTATCACTGAAATGGACCCTATCTCTAATTATAACTGTGTCATATATGTGAAGAAGAAGCGGAATTTACTAATGGAGTGCTCATCTTTAACAACAAATCAGTCATTAGATGATGTTATATTATTGAAACATCAATATTCTCATTATGTTCCTAATTCTTCCGATACAATCTCTATTAAAAGTTTTATTTTTAAGTCATATTTTATCATATACAGTCTGCTGTTACAACATGTATATTGTGTTTGAAAGGACAACATTTTGTACCACAATGTTTTTCAATCTTTTTGTGTTTTAAACAAGGAATTATTTATCTTTTCTTTTTCACTAATCATCATCTTTTTGTGAAAATATGTACGTCTTTGCATTTTTCAAAAGTGACTTTTCAACTGTGACCAGTTTTAAAAGCAAGGAACAATCACAGACTTGTGATATTTCAAGCATAATTTTGAATTTTCTCTCCAAAACAGCTTAGTGTTAGAATAGTGTTATCACATGTGTTATCTCTTGATAAACATTCATGTGATGATGTTTTTTCTTGTCAAACATTCATGTGATGATGTTATTTCTTGTCAAACATTCATGTGATGATGTTTTTTCTTGTCAAACATTCATGTGATGTTATTTCTTGTCAAACATTTATGTGATGATGTTATTTCTTGTCAATCATTTATGTGATGATGTTTTTTCTTGTCAAACATTCATGTGATGTTATTTCTTGTCAAACATTTATGTGATGATGTTATTTCTTGTCAAACATTTATGTGATGATGTTTTTTCTTGTCAAACCTTCATGTGATGTTATTTCTTGTCAAACATTTATGTGATGATATTATTTCTGATCAAACATTTATGTGATGATATTATTTCTTGCCAAACACTCACATGATGGTGTTATCTCTTCTCAAACAGTCAAATGATGGTGTTATTAATTATCAAAAAACTCATGTGATTGTGTAATAAACCATTTCTTATTTGTTATTCCAGCTTGTAAGTTACATTTTGTTACCAGTATGTACACCCTTCAGCACTGATGTAGTGATTGGTTAATATTTCCTAGCAACAGATGTTTACATGAATAGAAACAATCATAATTATACATATTTCTATCTGAAATATTGGAATTACACTAAAATCACTAACCTGAACTTCAGGATTGTTATTCCTTACAGGAATAGCAGGAAAGAAGTGATTGTACTTTACATTAGGAGAAAATGTCCCCTGAGAGTCTGGTGAGACTTAGCCTAAATAACCAATACCTCTCAATCACTCTACACAATTACATACAATTGGAGTCTGGACAAAGCCATGCTTGATCTTGACAAATCTATGTACAACACTGTCCAGTTACAATGATGAATGTCAGGCAGATTTCTGACATGAAAAAAAGGTCAAAGCTCACTCCCATGCGTGGGCATTTTAATCTTACCTCTGTCTTAAGTCAACCATTTCTCAAAGTCATAACTTTACCTCTTTCTTCTGTCAACCATTCTTCATAGTCATAATCTTACCTCTTTCTTCTGTCAACCATTCTTCATAGTCATAACCTTACCTCTTTCTTCTGTCAACCATTCTTCATAGTCATAATCTTACCTCTCTTCTGTCAACCATTTCTAAAAGTC